CGACGTAAGTCGAATTTACCTGTCTCCGAATCTACTTATCACTAGGAAAGCATTTTAAATAATATATGGTTAATAAAAATCTATTTTAAGCTTACAAACAAATAAATTTTAGTTTTTAATATAGTACAAAAAAAGTAATCTAAATTTACGAATGCGTGTACTGTAAATACAGTACATACTTGTATATATTTTAATATGATTTTATGTGCTTTAAACGTTTATCTAGTGATATTACGACTTCAATATTTGTGGCGGACAGACGTAAAGTCGAATAAAATGACTTAAACTTGATTTTTATTTTTCCATATACTTTTTTAACAAGCGACGTATAATCGGGAACGACGTAACTCGAAACCGACGTAAGTCGAGGTATGCCTGTATTATTTTTTTTAAAATTATTGATGATCTACACCTCAATTTTTAAAGCTTTACTCATTAAAAACATCTTTTGAATTTCTTTACATATGCAACACTTCATAAATCTTTTCTGTGACTTCCTAGTGCTAGTATTCCCATTCCAAATGTTGTACAGTACATCATTACATAATGCTCAAACTTCATCTTTCAAGATTTCTATTCATTAAAATTTAAAATTCTTACATTTCTTATAAATTTCATCAAATAAATATATAAACCTTAAGTAATTTAATGACAATTCAATAATTTTGGTTGTAATGTTTTCATAGTATTTTATATATTATTATTTTGTGATTTAAAATTCAATAAAAGAAAATATTTTTTATTTAAATAAATGTTTAAATTATTTAATCATTTAATTTAAATACTTTGAATTTGAAAATTAACTTTAATCCAGAATTTAGAGAAAAAATGTATTTTTTCAATATTTATAAACTTTATTCTATATTTTCTTTGTTAGCAAATACTTTTAACTAGATTAAAAAAAATATTTTTGGCTTTTATTTTTTTTAAACACGTTACAAACTTTAAAATATTTTATCAAAATCAGCAGTGCTAGCTTGATGGAAACTTTTGCCTGAGGTAAAATCATTTTTGCCACTCCTGTTTCCAGAACAGTTGTCAATAGAGAACTAACACTGACACTCTTGTATAAACTATTTGTAAACAACTTTAATCTATATTTATGGAACTTTATGGGAGTTTACTGAATTTCATTTATTACATTTATTTTGTTTCTATCATACAATGAAGTGCAGTACAATCGACATAAGGCTTTTCTTTATGTCCTGCTTTTAATCCAGTTCATTATTTGCCGAGACATGTTTCGGGCATTTGCCCCTTCTCTGTCGGCTTTTTAATTTTTTGATGTTACGTATTTNTTAAACGTTTATCTAGTGATATTACGACTTCAATATTTGTGGCGGACAGACGTAAAGTCGAATAAAATGACTTAAACTTGATTTTTATTTTTCCATATACTTTTTTAACAAGCGACGTATAATCGGGAACGACGTAACTCGAAACCGACGTAAGTCGAGTTTTTATTTTTCCATATACTTTTTTAACAAGCGACGTATAATCGGGAACGACGTAACTCGAAACCGACGTAAGTCGAGGTATGCCTGTATTATTTTTTTTAAAATTATTGATGATCTACACCTCAATTTTTAAAGCTTTACTCATTAAAAACATCTTTTGAATTTCTTTACATATGCAACACTTCATAAATCTTTTCTGTGACTTCCTAGTGCTAGTATTCCCATTCCAAATGTTGTACAGTACATCATTACATAATGCTCAAACTTCATCTTTCAAGATTTCTATTCATTAAAATTTAAAATTCTTACATTTCTTATAAAT